ACAATGCAGCAGGTAAAAGCTGAATTCGCATGTGTGAGAAAAGGAGTCTTTGGCCAATTCACGTGCCCGTGCGTGATGTGGCCACGTGAACTGCTGACGCGATACTTCTCTACACGTTCATATGCCCGAAAAATCGATGACCATCGCGTCCTTGAAAGTGACCGCCTCAGGCGCCGGCAGGTGAATTGGCCAAAGATCCCTTACACACACACATGGAAATTCAACTTATTTTACCTGCTGTTTTGCAGGGAAACAGTCTTCTCAGGATTCAAGCACTGTGTTGGAATCAGAAACGATTACGCTATCGAATGATTACTAATTTTCCAAAAAAGAAGCTCTGTCTGTTGAGAAATATGCGCGTCTGCAACGCTACAAATCTTCTCCTGTAGCGACGTTAAAAAAAGGCTTCGAAAACCGGCGACGTTGGTCTGTAGCCTGATGTCTCAGCTTTCGAACGGTTACTAACATTCCTATGAAAATTTCTCACCAGCAAATGAGGTCAGTTTTTCATTTGTCCCCCTTATGACCACCAAGAACCGAGTTATTTTGACATACGCGTATTTCTATCAAAACAGAGCTGGTTACCTTGAACTATGAGCAACCATTCAAGTGCGCATGTTTCGACAATTCCAACGCTCTGCGTAATCGTGGAAAGACTGTATCACTCCAGTTTTAGCAATAGAAATAAAATCGAATTCAACATACGCTCCGCAGTTGCTTGCCGGCTGTGTCTCCTACTCGTGGATCGATAGACGAACAATCGATCGCGCTGGGGTAACTTACATGTAGAGTGCAACCTTCACTATTGAATTTGGGATTTTCCCGCGTTTTGAAGAAGAAACTTGTATAAAGCTCACTACACTAATGTTCGAAGATCTCCTCTACACGCTCATATGCTTTTCGTGCTCCCAGCAAGATATAAACGTGATAGAAATGAAAGCGCGCAACGGGTGTGAAACATAATTTAAATTTGGATGCTAAAGCGTTATGAAAAGGTGTTTTTCAAAAATTGAGCACGTACCGTAACAGCCTGAAATTTAAACTTCTGAATAATTACTAACACTCTCGTGAATATTCTTGTCCAACGAAAGAGAACGTTTCTTCATTTCTTCTCGCCTGACAGAAAAGTACCCGCAAGTGTCTCTTTCAAAGTGCACAAAAGGTAATTATTCGTTCAATGAATAGGCGCTTGTTCACGGTCTCTAGGAGTTCCTTTGTTTTCCTGTACTATACGTACCACAAATTCGTCTACAAGCTAACAAGCTCTTGGTGCATAAACAGATCTTGCGCGTGAAGAAAAAACCTATTTATAGATCTCACCTTTCAACTGGAATTTTTGATAGATAGAAGTAAACTGACGAAATCTAAAATGTGGAAGCTCACTTTAAGGCAATTATGATCAGAACAGCAGAAAACACCGATTTGGAGTGCTGAAGTTTGTGCGCAAAGGGTGATAATTCTATGTAAGCTATTAAAATTGCATGTTTCTAGTACTTACATATATACAAATATATATGTATATATACATACATATATGCATGTGTGCATACGTATGCACATATATATTTGATATGCATACATGTCTACATAAACATTTATGAACACCTGCAAAGATGTCTACACTGTACGCGAGCTGGTTTGCAAAATGATGTGCAAAAGATCGGGCATGGTTACTGTAAAAGTAGCACTCACATAAAAGTGTGACATTTATAGATATCACCTTCTTGAAGTGATCTATTCATGTACACAAAGGACCTGACTGAACTTTTCGTGATAATCCGATAGTATACTAGAGATAGATGTAAAATCGCAACAAGCTCAAGATAGCTGTCCTCTTATGAATTTTCCACTTGACTATTTGCAGTGAACTTCGTCAAAAGAAGAACCAAGTAAACTCCATGAAAGCATCTGCGGAAGCAACCGGGGATAACACTACCAACCAGTTACTAGCAGTCTTGGAGAAGACCTTGTGCATGAAAATTGTTCACCTCAAAATATGTCGTTTTTAAGACAAAATCACGCCGTCGATATGTTAATCTACAAAAATAGGAGTATTCAGTATGGAGTGCATAACTAATCTACTTCAAAGTGAATAAGTAGGAATATGGTTCTTAGGAGAAATTGAAATTGGGGATAATTTCAAATTTATCCAAGTACCTTCTTGTTTCGTGGAGGTGGAGGTTCGCTGGGTGCTCTGTAAATTCGGAGGGGCAGTGGGTTCCGTGCCCGGAGCTGTTAGCTCACTAGCCGCCTCACTCAGGATATCCTTTGCTGAAATTAAAATTCTTCTCGACGGTTACAGAAACTTTACAAAACTAGCTAAGTTTTAACTAAATTAACTCCTTATTGAAGTTTATATTAATTGCTGCCTATTTTCCTATCTTCCTTAATCATTATTGTATCGTTGTAGAGGGTTTCATTTCACATTCAACTGATTTATGAGTATCCAGTCTTTCTCGGCGCTTCTTATTACCGAAAAGATGACTCAGAATCTGCATGTCCTATAATTTCCTTGTGTAAAAAAAGTATAAAAGTTGAATTTCAGTGGAAAAAGTATAAGAAGAAGGGCTCAGCCTTGCAGATGCGGGCATGTTTCACATGACTTGCATATAAATTACAGAAAAATGGATATTGATAAAATATGGTTTACAAACATTCTTAACTCTACTGACCATACCGTTCTCATCACACTAAACATTCATTAGCCGGCGGGACGAATGCTGGCCAACACGCTCGATAACAGATGGGTATTCGATCAAATCTCACGAATCTCATTAAATATGTTTCTGATGACCCATTCACGCTCAACAGAATGATTATATCCGAAGCCCCAAGTATGTGTATCTGGATCGAAACTGAATATGGTGAACGACTTAGGTCAAGAGGTGCACTGAAGGAAGCCATCGGCTTCCTGAGATTTCGAACATGGAGGATTTAATGATGAAGAAATGTAGACAGCTACTCGGCGCCCATCATTTTGAATCTTTGTGCCTTAACGTCTCTCCGGAACACAGTTGTGGTTTAGAGAACGCGTTCCAAACGTTGTAATATGAAAGCAGAATGAAAGATTACTTGCCATTATGGAATGTGTGGTTGAAAGGTCAATGCTGGAAGCAACCTTTACCACTCTAATGAAGCATGCGGGAAAGGCAGCACGAAACCTCATGATCGAACATCAGCAGGTGAATATATACATCTCAAGACATCGAAAATCAGGCCGCTTCCACACACACGATGTATCAATGACAATTACAAAACAGCAACCATTAACAACTGCGTCCAGTTAGGTGCCAAAAGCACAGCAGGACACCATCAACCCGATGTTCAAATTTCTTCGCGAATATCTTATGAAATAAATATCATGTGATGCACCCAAGTGGTTCAGAAATAACAGAACTCTGGAGGGACTGCTTTTGCATGTGACACCGACGAATTGAGAACTGGTTGACAACACTTCGTATTAAGCAACGAGAAACATGAAGACAGCTGACAAAGGCGAAGACAAATGAGTGACATGGACACGGAAAAATAAATAGGAATATAAATAAAGAAATAAACTGCGCAAATTCACTTGAAGAAACCTTTCTTAGGCCGCCCCAGGAATAAAATCATCAAGCTGAATTAGAGAAAAAACAAAGTAGTTCGGTAATAGTGAAATAGTGAATACCTGAGTCTAAAAGTTGCGAGAACATGACGATCTGAAAATAGAAGTTTGACAAAATTCTACACTGTAGCAGACAAATTTGTCGAGAAAATCGGGGGAAAACCGGATATGGGTGATGAAATGCTGTTTTCATAGACAAAAAGTTCAAATGGATTTGCAATTTTTTTTTTCGAATGCAAATAATAAGCAACCGGAGAGATGGTTGATGTTTGGCCAATAGATTTTCCTCAGCCAACCCAATTTTTTATCCTGAAACATAATCACTAATGCGATGAATGAATACGATAAAAATCCGTTGATATATGCTGAGTATTCAAAGTTAGTCGCTGAATAATTGTTTTTAGCCGAGAATTCCATTACATAATAGCAAACACTTCATGGCGAAGTTTATTCGTTTCCTTTAGTTCTGAAGTTTTATCAATTTGGACTTTTAGATCTACACAATGCTGTGATATTTGCAAACATTACAAAACGTATTTGAGCAACTTTTAATCAAAGTATGACAAAATCCCATCAGAGAAACGACACAATGCCTCTAGGACAATCGAAAAAGTCACTTCCATATATGAGATCGTGTTAACTGAAATGATCCCTTCTGATTCATAGATTTGCGGTAGCTATGATCAGCATCTACTAACATTCGTCAACTGGGGCCGAGCTAGATTGTCTCGCCAAAAATCAGCTCGAGATCCTTTACAAAGAGAAATTCGGGAATAAACAATGCAAATCTCGAGATAGTTTTCTATATATGTTGATGTAAATGGTAGGTTGCAAACTAAGAGCGGCTACAAACGTTAAAGGCAGCTACGAAAGGAGGGTTCATTTAGCCGTTGAAGTGTCACGTTGTGGCGAGGGTGGGTGGCTTTTCGTGGCAAAACAGACGGATGTGTTGTTTTCGAATCGACACGCATTGTTTGCTATGCGACATGCAGTCCGACAAAGGCCATCGACTACCAACTGCCCGAATATCGATTTACTACTGTCGAAGAGAAAATGATGGCAAAAAAATAGCTGAACAATCGCTTATGAAATGAGCGTAGACGATTGCTCGATAACTGGTTGCCGTCGTCCGTCGTTCGTCGTATAGACGACAACAGCCTGCCTCCTCAATTCGGCCATCCTGATCGATGTGGCTTGCACCCGCATTGGATCGCATTGCGGTCCTTGAAATCGTAAATGCATGAAAAATAAAAGAAAAAAATATGATGGGCATTTATTCCTTCAAGAATTATTGCACTTAGAAGATCAAACTGATTTCCTTTATATTTAACCGCTTCAAGTCGTGGTATGATATTTTGAATAAACCCATTGATGTAGAGTGATATGCAAGAACTTTTTCGTCAGCTGGGACTCGAACCTCCATGTCACCCTATCCGGGGACGCGTGCTCGAACCATTGCACTACCGACGCCTGTTTGACAGCACTATTTCTACGCTACAACGTATGTGTGTGTCAATAATCAACGTTCGTCAACGGTGTGACACGGGTACTCGCTATCGCCATTGAACCCACTCACATAGACAGATACTGGGTTTTTGATTATCAAACAGAAACCTTTTTTAGTTAACCAATTGGAGCACGCTCCTCGGAATGTGGGTTCGAGTCTCAGCTGACGCAAAAGTTTTCGCACACCACTCTCCATCAATGGGATTATCTCCATTATATTTGTTATTTTGAACCTATCAGATAACATACGTACTGGTATCAATGCGCATAGGACGAAAATAACGGTGTGAACTTTGCAGCTCATACGTACAGGGTGTACACTATAGCGTACGTGCGATCTACATATTCATTAAATGAACCAGTTGATTATTATTTTTACCTTTCCTTCCATTTTGGTAGCCTAGCAACAGAACGATTGTCTCAAAGAATTCAGTGAGCCTCACCTTCCTTGGGTTACACGGAAAACACATGATGAAAAAGGTGCCAATAAAAATCGCTCTCCAGCCGAAATCTCTCTTTTACGTTGTACCCTATGCGTTGATTGAAATAGAATTAGTGGTATGTGGAGATCATTGGCAAGCATATGCAATTTCCTTAATATACCCAGATGAAATCCCGATTTTCTGGATCTTATGCGTATTTTCATTCATTGGTTTCTGTGTCAGAAATTCGAACACTGAAGCAAGTAAACTGAAGCGATTTTATCCAACTGGACGTGATGGTTCCCTTTGTTTTCAGTGTGCCGTTGGTGCTTGTGGCTGTTGCATCTGCGTGCGAGGTTTGCAGATCTTAACATCACTACATTTCTTCAAATTTTTCATTGTCAGCAACAAAGCTGTGAGGACACGTATGAAATTTCTATAAACGCTCATGCGATATAGCAGACCGCCCTGAGTGGATCCGCAGAGCTCGTCTCCTGTTTTATCAATGGGATGTGCATCATATGTTGTAATCCAATTTGACGCATGAGGGCTATGAAATCATTCGTAAAAAATTACTCATGTAAAATCTCTTCGATGAAAAAAAGTGATGTATCCAAAAAAGCAGTTCAACACATCTCTAGATGGGGCTCAATGTGTTTTGAAATTGAGATTGTGCTAATCACTATTGACACATTCTATCTGGTATGTTTTTCAGTTCAACCGAAGTGCGGTATCTGTGTACCGAAATCGGTATTCCTTAATACTGTTGTTCCGCTGTTCAATTCGTAAAAAGAAATGAGGGAAAAAAGAAATCACAAGGGGGTTCATTCGAGAGATTAGCCAGTAAATTTGAAGGAGTGTTCAAACGCTCGTGCACCCACACTGTACATGTTGGGTGGTACGTGTTAACCCCTTGAGTCCAACGTTGACTTTTCAGGCGCCATTCGGTGGCATCGCACGGCAAGCGCAGGTAGAATAACAATATGGTAGTTCTCTAATGAAATTTAGACTTTTATCACCAATAAGAATGGTATAATCGTGGGTAAATGAAAAATATGATATAAGAGATCTTAGTAAGGTATTTTCTTTGTGAGGTGCCAATAAATTTACAAAACTATGAATAGTTTGCCAAAAAGATTGATACTGAGCATTGCAATGTGGTGCCATTTCTTCGATAAAATTTGGCAGACTCCCAAGATCAGTGTACTTCAGAATGCGGAACTTTTACTTAGCTATAGAGGAGAGGTTCATTTCGGTTATAAAGGGGTAAATGAAAAACCTATCTCATTTGCTGAAGAGAAACTTTTACATAGGAGTATTAGTAACTAGACGAAAGTTCAGATTTATAGGCACAGCCTCGCGTGGCCGATTTTCGAAAATACCCTTTTATAATGTTGTAAAATCGAAAATAAAACATATGTCTCAGAGGCCTCGCCGAACAGAGCTCTTTTTCAGACTATTAGTTATTATTCGATAGCATAATGTTTGCTAAATCCAACGCCCCTGATTATTTTCTGAAAAAACCATTTCTCAGCAACGCAACAGGGAAAACAAGATTGGTTCACATCTGCCAGCAAGGTGGTCTTTGGCCAAATCACCGTCCGCTGGGTGAGCAGCATGAAGGCTGCGCAACTGTCGATCGATTTTCGACCGGTCTTATGAAGAAGCGGCCTTTGTTATTGAATTACAAATTGTTTCGCCGCTTTGAAAGAAAAAATCCGGATAAAACGTATGACTCTGTTACAGAAAGACACCTAACACTTTTATTTTGCCATGAATACGCATAAATCACTCATCAATATTATCACTTCGATGGCGCTCAGGAGGCCAGAACGTCCTAATTGCTTAAAATAGTAATTCGAAGACATTCAGATACTACGAGATTTTCTCTAAACGTTCATATGCTCAAAATTCGATCGATAACTGCGCAACCATCATTGCTACCTTAAACCACGCCTTCTGTATCATTGTAATAAAGTCTTTTTGAAAACCGGCCACGTTGGGATGTGGCCAGAAATCTATACTTTCGAACGATTGCCGAGACTCCGATGAAAAGTTCCTATCCCGCGAATGAGTTTCGTTCTTCATTTGCCAGCTTATAAGCGAAAAGAACCAAAAAAAACCATGTTCTGGTAAATTCTTTTTACATTACCTAATTAGAGCTTTCTATAAACATCAGTGGCTTTGCCATAGGCTATTTTCAAAGTATTTGAATAGGTAAATACAAATTCTATTGAGGAACTTTCTTCTACATGTCATTCTTCGTGGAAAATGTGTTTTCGAAATACATTTACACAAAACACGTTTACAGAAGTTTTCCAATAATAATTTATTTTTTCACAGCGGCAAAGTTCGTTTAGAGTGAAATTTTCACTGCATGGTACAAAATAAATCTGTCGTGAAGTTTAAACAACGCACTCCGCAAGCAAAACGTTATCTTTTTTCCGCTACTACTTAAGCGAAGTAGGGAAGTCGTTTGACAAACTAAGCCTAGCTGATAATCGGCATTTCTCAATATATCGAGCGGCTTCTAGAAACACAAACACTGAAGGCGAAACAAATGTAAAGAAATGTTACTTAACAGCAGAAATATGTTCTCTTTCGAAAGGATGCGGTTCTCCTGTTGAAACATAGAGAATTTCTTGGCACCCAATTGTTATTTTTATTGAAGTTATCCTATGAAGTCTTGTCTGTGATATTCCATCATTTAGTCACGTTAATGTCCCATTAGACCCTCATTTCATCAAGTTTTACTCCCATATTTTCACTGTACTGCGCACCAATACAAAATATCCGCCGCACGTGGCGGCATGAGCAGTGCACTCTGTAGAGGACGCTAACTCAAGGGTTTAATTTACTGAGCTGAGATATATAACTTCGAAAGCATGAAATTCCTTTCAAAGTGTTTTTTATAGTGGCTGCTGTGAGGACTTCTTTCAACGAGTATTTGTTTAAGACTCGAAAAATAGGTATCGATGGTTGAAAGAATAAATGTGTACTGCGGACGAGGTAAAGACTCGATTTAAATCGAAGTAAGATTGTTAGTGTTAGTTTGGTACCGTGCTTCATCTTTCCTTATTTTATGCGGAAAGTCGTCACTGTTGAGTGGACAGCCTGCTTCTTGTCACGGCTGACAAAACATTACACAGATGGATCGTTTTTGTGGCAAAATTAAAGTGCAGAAAAAGATTTCAAATAGGTGTTTCTTTTTATTCGGTTTCGACTTGCCATATTTTTGAAAATCTCCATTCGGATTTGAGTGTTTCGAGATCCTTTATACTCGCATTAGAAGCTGTTCTGCTATCTTACCTTCAAATTTTCTTTAGATAATATTTTTAAGTGATCACCGTCTAGTGCATCAGTTCGTCCTTCTTCAAATTTTAGATTGAGGCTTTCTTTCCCAACGCCAATCTACTAGATTAGCTTTGTAACACCTGCCGATTCTATGAAGGTTCAATGATCATTCAAATGTAATCTGAAGATTTATTTCGCTTTCATGGAGCGTATGTGGCGCACTGGTTTAAAGGTGCTCTCTGTGTCGCACACGAGGTCGATGGTTCTATCTCGCGCTCATGGCTCACCAAGATGGATTCCCTCTGAGGTCGGTAAATTGGAACCAGACTTATCTGGAGAGATAAGCAGTATTGACTCGGCACAGCGTGAATCCATCGTGAATCATTGGAAATGCCACATTTGCATTTAATTACTTAAAACGAAGCTAGAAATTGAAGATCAATGCATGGCGCATTCCTTAGGGATTGATCAACGCCGAGAGCTTTATCCTTTCTTAGCTCAATCACAAACACGCTGAAATTGATGATATCGAATGGTTAGTGAATGTGTGAATGAAAACCTCTGTCCAGCGCAAGATGCTTGAGTATGAAATTATTTTTACCTCTATAATATGATATAAAACCATGTCAAAAACAAATTACACTTTTCTAATTCTCAAAATTTAAGCTGTCACATGATCACCATAACATCAAAGAGCAATAAAAGTGCGTTTTTTCAAAATATGGATGAGGATGGGGAAAATGTACTGAGAATACTTCTTTGGAGACACATATTTCTGACCAATAGCTTGCATAATGCATATGTTCCCAGCTTTCCAACTCAAACACGATTGTCCCTCCATGCATGCTGAGAATTCCTCCACTGTCCATTAGTTCACGGTATATTCTCACTCAAGTAACTCTAAAACTAAAGGTTAACGAATGTCTCTTAGAAACTAAGCTATAGTGAAAGTTATCGATGAACTGGTATCGCATACAACATGCATTACCATTTTTGATAAAATACTCACTGTCTTCTCATTTCTACTTACTATGACGATTTATGGATCTTGTATAAAGCTAGGGAAGATTAGAACTACAGAGTTTTATTGTGATCTCTCTTTTCCTATGCAATACAATTAATTGAATGTCATAATCAGTGTGATTGCGCAGTAAACCAGCGTTTTCTCTTCACAAGACACACATATTTGAGCCAAAATCATATGAGCGAGTAGAGGAAATCGTGTTTCTATCGAAACAATACAGAAAT